AGCTGCCCAGGATCCTTCTGCAAATGTGGGCATGGTGGCAGGTGGAACTCGGGTCTGCAGTTTTCCAGGGCCTGGTCTCCAAACAGACGCCGGAGTGTTGACCTTCAGGATAAAAATCATTTCTAATTAAGGCTGTTATTGCTCAAGGATGGCAAATTCCATCTTGTTGGGAGGGAAAACCTTCCCCTTCCAACGCTGTCTACCTGCGTTGATGTCAGTCTTCTCAAAAAACCGAATTCAAACAAGTCACTCTTACCGAGTGACAGCTTGGTGCTTTTCCACATCCTCGTAACCACACCACCTGGGTGTTAGTTACTGTTATTTGCTCTGCTTATGATGAGACGCGAGAAAAAAAGTGCAGGGACTTGGGACCCAGGGGAGCCTGCTAGCTTCAGCACTTGAATCTCAGCGGGCTGTTAGTGGCCTCACCTATAGCGAGTCTTCTGCACTTCCTGCAGCTGCGCTCTCCTTTGCCCCTCACCAGCCCCATTAACAGGGCCTCTGTGAAGTGGAGTTGTCTGAGGTTAGGAGGCCAGGAAATGGTGGTCCAGTACATGTACACCCCCTCCCACCTTCACCCAAATCAGCTGATGCTCCATCTTCAGCGACCAGCACCCTCAGCTCCTTGCACTTGTCTGCAGGCTCTCTCTTGCCTTCAGAGCCTTAGCAGATGCTGTTCCCAACGGCTGGATTTCCTGCACATCTTAGCATCAGCATTGCCTCCCTAAGTATGTCCTGCCCCACCGAGTCTAGCATCTTGGGACCTGGTCCCCTATTGTGCTGGCATGGCATTCCTGCATTTGTAGTGACAGGTGGTTGGTATATTGACCTGTTTGTAGTCTGGCTCCTACATCAGAAGCTGAGCTTGAGGAGGGCAGGGCCGTCTGTCTTGAGTGCCTCCATCTTCCTGGACTTTGCTGCCTGGCTTCCCTCTCAGCTGGTGTGGTGGATCAGGGCTCTTCCCAGGCGGCTGCTGTTCCCTTATGGGCAAAGGCTGTCATCTCCTGCCCCCTCTCACAGGTTTTCCTGAAGACTCAGTTGAGCTACCACCTGTTCATGAGGGGCTGATGCCACTTCCCTGCTGTCAAATCACTCATCTTTGGCCATCACAAAGCACTGGCTTTCGTCCCTGAATTGCTGTGAACACCCAGTGGTGCCGGGCTTCCAGAACATTCACCTTAAACAGACCCTCTTTTGATCCTACGCTGTTGTGGGGTTGCAGGTTGTAGATACCCTTCTCTCCCACATCTCAGGCTCTGTGGCTGGGCCAGGGTGGCTGCCTGTCTGGTAGCAGAAGCTCCAAAGGTAGTGAATGGAAGTGGGCCAGGGTGAGTGAGAAGGCTGGTAACACCACAGTCAAAGAAACAACAAAAGCCAACCAGCATGTTTTCACTAGGATGAGGGCAGGATGGGCAGGCTTCAGAACTGATTAAAAATAGACCCTGTGTGCCGAACCGGTTTGGCTCAGTGGATAGAGCGTTGGCCTTCGGACTCAGGGGTCCCAGGTTCGATTCCGGTCAAGGGCATGTACCTTGGTTGCGGGCACATCCCCACTGGGGGGCGTGCAGGAGGCAGCTGATCAATCTCTCTCTCACTGATGTTTCTGGCTCTCTATCCCTCTCCCTTCTTCTCTGTAAAAAATCAATAAAATATATTTTTTTAAAAAAATAGACCCTGTGGAAGAGCCAACATGAGCTCGCGAGCTGTCCAGGTGGTACCTTGCAGAGTCCCCAGTGGAGCCTCATGTCGCTTTGTCTTTCAGGGCTCTCGTGTACAGCCTGAGTTCCAGCCTCACTGAGCCGGTTACCCCCAAGACCTTCCTGCGGAGGAAGCCTCCCCCAGCGCTGACCATGTCTATTATGGACCACAGCCCCACCACGGGTGTGGTCACAGTCATCGTCATCCTCATCGCCATCGCTGCCCTGGGGGCCTTGATCCTGGGCTGCTGGTGCTACCTGCGGCTGCAGCGCATCAGCCAGTCAGAGGACGAGGAGAGCATCGTGGGGGATGGCGACACCAAGGAGCCCTTCCTGCTGGTGCAGTACTCAGCCAAGGGACCATGTGTGGAGAGGAAGGCCAAGCTGACCCCCAATGGCCCAGAAGTGCACGGCTGAGCTGGGATGCGAAGGCTCCTGGGCCTGTTTGCAGCCAGCCAAGAGGCGTGGGAGGGGAAAACCACAGACGTGCTGCCGTTTGAGAGGAGGGGTTGACGCTGGCATGGCCTCGCCGGGCTTCATTATCGCATGCACTGACTCCTGGGGTCCCAGCTGTCCTAAGCCAGGACTTGGTGGCCCTGGGCATTCCCTCTGCCTCCTGGTGGAGCTGCCCATTGCAGGCAGTGGGCAGACCTGACCTTGCTTTTGTTACTTGAATGTTTAGCTGAGCCTGTTTTGATGGCGCTACTACTGTAACGCGTGAACTCACAAACCTGTGAACTGTAAATAGGACCCAGAAGCACGTGCTTAAACCTTTTTTGCTGATTTTAAAAAATACTGCATAGTGTACATGGGATTGACAGTACTAATAAGCTGAGTCAAGGCTGTGGGGGAGTGTCTTGGACATGTAAGGCCCAAGTTGCACTTGGCAGGGGCCTCTAATATATGTGTGTGTTCGTAGAGGATGTGACGTGTTTTAAGTTTCAGAGCTGACCGGTTGGGGTGCTGTGGTGATTTCTGCTTGGTTAGCAATAGATGGGAGAACCAGACCACTGTCTTTCTCTAAGTAGGTTTGGTCGTTAAATACCAGTTGCTGTTGATATTGCAAGGAAGCTACTGCAGCTGCTTGGGAGCCAGTGAAGGACGAGTCAGGCACACGTCCTGAGGGCTGCCAGGCATCCCAGTGGCAGAGCAGTTTCTTGCCCCCCTGGTCTTGAGCATGCTGAGCACTCTGTCCCCTCCCCAACCCCATCCCCACCCCCACCGGGCATTACTTAGCACAGGCTTAGCGAGCAGGCAGTGGCTTTTATCTGGAACCCAATTGGCCCAGAAAGAAAATTGTGGTTTTTATTTGTTGTATTTAATATTTTCTGCACTGGAGGGGAGAGGAGGGGACTGGGGTTTCCTCACTCCTTCCCTTTTCACAAATTAGTTTCCTTTCTTAAATTACCACTCACCTGCTGGATACTGGACTTTACTTTCCTCAGCAGATCACCTAGAACAGGGGTGGGGAACGTCCGGCCCACATGCCATATAAGGCCCATGAAATCATTTGGTCTGGCCCTGCCAAGGCATTGGGTGTGAGTTAATTAAATGTTTGACCAAATGTAGCAGGCTAATTTTTAAGTTGATAATTGTGTATGGCCCGTGAATGATGATGTCAATATCCAAATGGCCCTTGGCAGAAAAGGGGTTCCCCACCCCTGACCTAGAAGGAGAGTCCCCTGACTCCACTATGAGAGCACCAAGTGCAGTGGAAGGGCATTTCTTACGTGCATATGTACACAGGAGCCCCCAGATGTGCCCTGACTGCCTGTGCTTAGTGAGCACCTGGGGGGACCGGGGGCAGGGGAGAGTGAGTTTCAGGTTCTGCACTTAGTTTTCAAAAAGATGAGTTAGTGGCTCTTGGATTGGGCCAGTGCCTCCACAGCCTGCATCTCCAAGGTGTCCCTTGTATGAAATCACTTGGATTTTTAATTCCACCACTGTAAACACATTAACGGTTACGATCAACTAGGACTTATATCAGCAACCTGGGTAATAAACTGGAGGCCAGCCTTGTTTTAACCTTGGTGCACTGGCCTTTAGCACTTGAGTAGCCTGCCAGCAGCATGGGCATGGAGCTCCCAGGAGGCCCTCAGCCTCCCCCGTCAGCTCCCACCACCATTAGAGCCCTGGCTTCCTGGTCAGGCTGAAGGCAGCTTACTTATGGCTTCATTCAAGTCTCCTCTAGAAAGCATGTTGAACTAATCTACTTTCTAGAACCCCAAGGAGGGAGCTTAGGGAGCATTTACTTTAGCAGCATATGCCTAAATTGGGGACCAAACATTAATAGCTTAGAGGGAGGGGTAAGGGCAGTTACACAATTTGAGCTAAAGGCAAGAAGAAATGTCCCTGGCCCTTAACTGAGGATGGCCAAGCATGAGAGTTATGCTGGAGATCAGCAGAGGCCCTTTGGGCTGGGAGTGGAGACAAGTTCCAAAGGTGCCGACTTGGAAATCAGGGAGATTTGCTTTCTAATGAAGGATGCTCAAGAAAAATGGAAGGTGTAGGGGCATTTGATCCATTCCCCTCGCATTCCAGAACCTCCAAGCTTTCTACCTCTAACTTTCTGCAGCCAGCAGCTTACACCTAGGCTGTCTTTCACCCTAGTAACCCAGGAGGCACCTGGGACTTGCATTTTCAGTCTCTGAGCCTGGCTCTGAAAATGACCATCACTTGACTGTCAGACTTGCCCTGAGGTTTTTACCGTGACAGTGAAGTTTGAGTTTTGAAATGTTGAAATGTCGCTTTCTCCTTAGTTTCACGTCTGGAAGTTCTTTATTCCACTCCTTGGTTGCCAGGGATGACATCTTTGCAGCTTGAATCAGGCCCATCCCATCAGCATGGTGACAGTGCCAGATGAGGGTCACAGGCATGGTGGGGCACTCGTGGGGGTCTCTGGGAGGAAAGTGAAAGTGCCTGTAGAACTGGTGAACAACCACACAATAGCTGTCACTGTTCTTATTTGTCAATAGCTACTTTTTTTAGTACAGACACCAGAGCCACACACTCAACTGGCTTAGTAAGTTATGACTCTCATTAAGTTCATTCTGAATTGACCACTGTTGTGTTCAAGTTTTCTGACTAGTCAGTCAAGAAATTAACATCTCATCCTGTATGTCATCACAGAAGCAACAACAGGAGAATGGGGAGGGAACTCTGACGCAGCCACTAAAATATGGACTAATTTTTCAGACAAATCTTCAAATGGACTGTGCTACTGTTTTTGTCTCAGTTACCAAGTTTGTGCAATAAGTGGAAGGGATGCCATCCCTGTTCAATAAAAGCTGAATGACATTCACATTGATTTTCTAGACCACTGAGAAAATCTTTATTTACAATAAATTTCAATAAAATTTGCATAAATATATTCCCAATGTACAGATTTCACCTCTGATTTCTTCATGTCGTTTAAAAAGTTAGTCTGTCCTATTCTCATTGCTCCTTTCAGCCGCCAGCGGGGAGCTGATATTGGCAGGTGGAGGGGTGCTGCCAGGTAACCGGGGGGACCCTGAGGGCTCAGGGTAGTCAGTGTGCCCCTCCTCCAGGGGAGAGAGATTTTCAGCTCCGTCCTTGCTCTCCAGTTTCCGCTCCATGGTCGCCACCAGGATCTTGAGCCATGTGTTCTCCGTGAGCAGGTTTTCTGAGGCATCGGCCAGCTCCTGGAGCTTTCGGGCCACCTCCTCCAGCTCCCTGGTTTTCTGCTCATACAGGGCCTGCAGCTGCTCACTGTGCAGCTGGAGCAAGCTGTGCTGCTTCTTCAAGGTCTGCTGTTGCTGCAGCAGCTGGTGCTCATCCCTGCGCGCGCTGGAAAGCTGAGCCTCCACCTGCATTTGCGCTCGCTGAAGGGTGCTGATTTCAGCCCTCAGCTTCTGGATCTCTCTCTCCAAATGGGAGATGTGCCCCTGCTGTAAGACTGCCTCGCTCTGAAGACACTCTTTGGTAGAAGGGTTAGCCAAGTTCTGGGGGACAGAAGCAGGGTCTGAGTGGTGCAAAATGAACCTCAGCAGGTTTGGAAGGGTGATGGGAAGATCTTCAGGGTATTTCACACTTAGGTCCTTTCTGAAGGGAAAGGGAAGAGTCAAAGATGAGAGTCACACCAACATGTTTAGTCCAAAACCAGATTGCTACTGAAGATCAGGCCATTTATTTCCTACAAAAGACATTCCGAGAATTGGACTTAACTGAAATCAGCAAGGAAAATGTTGTCTGGGCAGAAACTTTTATACAAAGCTGAGGATGTGCCACATGCTCATTCTGCAATTAAGGTGGCTTATCTCAAACATGTCTATTCCTGAGGAGAAAGAGCTGTTTCTATTCACAGCCTTCCAAGAAAGACAAGAGCTCCCAGACCTAAGCCTAAAGCCAGTGATCAGGGCACTGGGGACCGAGGGGCTGAGTGGCCTCTGTATGTTCCGAGAGGCCCAGGGGCATGTCCTGGGGCAGAGCTGTCCCCCATCACTCCTGTGGCCATCAACAGTGCTTGGTAAAATAGGAAAAACCTGACACACTCAGCTCAGTTTCTTCAGCAAGCATTCATTCCATATTATCCAAGGCAGGAGTTCTTAACTGGAGGTGACTGTACCCCTCAAAGGACATTTGACAACATCTGGAGACATTTTGATAGCCATGATGGGGGAAGATGTTACTGGAGCCCTGACCCTTGACAAATAGAGGAACCGAAGCTGCCTGGTCCTGAGAGCACAGGATAAGGAGGGAGGGCGACATATGAAGGGGGTTTGCCCAAAGCTTAACTGCAAGTCCATTTGTAGAAAATTCCTCTTTAGAACTTGTCATTTAATTGTCTGATGAGCAAGTTTCTACCACAGATATATTTCCCTGTGTATACACAACCTAGCTGCAATACATCAAAACCACTAGTTTTATGTATGAGCTGAACAAACAATGGTTATCGTCACCTTTGAGTATTAAAGAAATGGAGGTTAAGAGCAGGGCCTCCAGAAGCTGCCTGTCTGGGGCCAACTCACAGGGCTAATGCTCACTGTCAGGAGCTCCCAGACAAGTGGCTTCTCTGTGTCCCTCCATTGCCTCATCTGTAAAAGGTTAACAAGAGTACCATCTCCCTCACAGGATTGCTGTAAGGATTACACTAGTTACCCAAACGCTCAATGAGTGTCAGCTTCAAAAAATTGTTCCTTAGAAAAACCTGAAACCATTCATTAAAAACTTGCACACCCTCTCCAAACACAGAGCCAGTGGCCAAATACCTAAGAAAAGATAAAAGGTGTTCTCTTAATGGGTAAGTACTTGCCCTAGGAAATAAAAATCACAGGGAAATTAAAATCAGATATGCCCTATTTTTATACAATCTTAATGGAAACTTTCAGGTAAATGGATTAATTTCAAACATTTTGGGGATGAATATATAACCATGCCCTCCTTAAAGCATAGTTTTCTAAACATGCAAGCTGTCTTTAAGTGGGGCCTCCCAGCCATTCTCACCTGGCCTCTGCAGGTGAGGAACAACAAGCAGAGGCTGATCTGCAGCACAAACCTGGGCAGAGAGTAAATGTGAATTAATCCCCAGGGAAAGAGCTGCTGAGAGACCAGTTTATGTACCTGGAGACAGTTACAGGACAGAAAACGACATTTCTAAGCATGCCATTTTAGAGTTCCTGGAGCAATCTTCATGAATCTACCTGATGGGTATGCTAAAATGCTTCCAGCCTTTTTATAAATAGCAAGGACAGAGTGTCAACAAACTGCTTCCAAAAAAATAATCACTTTGAAAGTGTGGTGGTAAAGGTCTCACTATTTACCTGACTCTCCTCTAAGTTCACTAGGAGCATGTTTATTATGCACCTCTGGCACGTAAAAGGCCAGATAAAAAAATAACAAATGGGGGTCTAAGGCTCTACTCCAAAGAAGGGGCTATCACACTGAGGGAGGGTGGGCCTGCTCCTCTGAAGAAGTGAGGTCCTTCCCCAGGGGATACATTAGGGTGAACCCTGCCACACTTCTGAAATCCTAGCCTAGGGCTGGGCCACAGCACCTATATCAGTGATGGCGAACCTATGACACACGTGTCAGAGGTGACACGCGAGCTCATTTTTTTGGTTGATTTTTCTTTGTTCAATGGCATTTAAATATATAAAATAAATATCAAAAATATAAGTCTTTGTTTTACTATGGTTGCAAATATCAAAAAATTTCTATATGTGACATGGCACCAGAGTTAAGTTAGGGTTTTTCAAAATGCTGACACACCGAGCTCAAAAGGTTTGCCATCACTGACCTATATTATGAAATGTCACACAGAGTGGTGGAAGGAAGGTAGTTCTAAGATACCCCTGAACAGGAAGGCTGGCCCAGCCAGGAGCAGGAGGGACCCGGGTGGCATACTATGTCAGAGGACAAGCTCTTTCATATGGTTTTCCTTTAATGATTATAAAATAAGATGTGCTCACTGTAGACAATTTGCAAAGGATGCAAAAAGCACACAAGAGACACCACCAGATCACCCGTAACCCTCACTCCTCCAAAACAATCATTGTCAACATCTTGACATCTTTTCTTCCCTTATGTACACATTTTAACCAGTGCAACTTTGTATTTTATCAAAACACATTTTATATTCTTTTCACTAAAAATAACATAAGTATGTATACTGTGAAAAAGGTCTTGTTACATGTTATCAAACAGTCTTTTTTATTTCCTCTTTTGTGAGCTGGCAGCTCATATCCTTTGCCCATTTACTTCCTGAGTAAACTGAACACTCACTTTGGACGAGGTAATGAGGCACTTACTTCTGATTATAATTTAATTTTGGGGAAATAAGTACAATTCCATTCCAAAGCAGTAATGCTTTAGTTTATCAAGGAAGCTCTTACCATTAAAATAGAACTGGACAGTCTTTTCATGTTCAATATTTACCTTCTTGATTTTTCAATTCAAGGAATATACTAAGGGGCTGCAGTGACCCCAACGAGGGCGTGGAAAACAATCTCACCTCCACGCTGACTACATCAAACAACTTTAGAATGAAAGCTACTCAAGCCAGACTCAGGCCCCCAAACACACAACTCTCTGCCACCAAGTCTCTGGGTGTCTTTCCCTGTCTCCTACTATATATTCATGGATTGTAGTTGCTGAGAACTTCTTTATGCAAAGGCCAGAGCTGGATGTTATGGCTTTAATACTTTTGTAAACTGTGTTTGGAATTCTAAAATTATGTTTCATTAAATTTCATGCCCAGCCTCTAACCCATAGATGGAATTGCTAGTGTTATTGTCCATGATTCTGTGACTGTGTGGCTCTTTAAAGCTCCTTAGAAAGAAAAGGGTCATCACGACACGTCAGTAGTACAATAGGGTGAGTCATGCTCTGTTTTTAGTGTGTGATTTGACAAGACTCTACTACCACAGGAAGTATTTCAGAAAAAATTCTTTGAGATAAAGAGGAAAAAACAAGGAAATGATTCAGTATGTATGAAGGAAGCACTCTCCTGGAAAAATACAAAAAGCAAGGCAGTGGCTACAATAAATGGTAAAAGTGAGCGCAGGAAATTAAAACAGTAAATGTCATATATGAGTTAGGGACCTCACTGAAATAACTCAGCAAATGCTTTTCCCCAGTAAAGCCATGTGACTGGGTCCTCAAGGACCCATCCTTTTAATAACAAAAGGGAAATCTGTAAAAAGGGAGAGAACATCTGGTTTATTGGCTTTGAAAGGCCAAGAGTTAATTTCCCTTCCTACCAAAACATCCACATCCACATATGCTAAATGCCAAGTCCTATCCCTTTTGCTAATGTTCACCCCTACTTGCTGGGCTTTCAGAATAGCAGCAGTAATCACTGAACTTGGAGTAGCACTCAGACAAATATGAGCAGATCCAGGTGACAGCCCTGGGGTAGATGTTCACAGAAGTCTGCACACTTGGAGAAAAGGCTCCTTGACCCCTATTTCCTCTTTGCATTGGAGGAACAAGGTAGTCATGGCCAGGACTCAATGAGAAGAAATGATACGCATGAAATCTAGGACAGGCGGGCCCAACACACCTTGTAAGGCTCAATAGGTGCCTGTTGTTTTGCCCCATCACCACCACCATAATGTGACCCCAAAGCTGTTTTACCTTTTTCCCTAATAGCACATTTTTTGCACAATACATTTTATTCAAAGTAATTTAGTAATAACTAATGATTTACATATCACTTCCATTATCTTAAACCCAATTTATTTTCAGCAAAAGAATCCCATCTGCCCAAATATTGAAAAAATTCTGCATTACCTGTTACAGGGAAAAAATAAGACAGTAGGAAGTCGGTCAACCATAAATTCCCAAGGAAGATCATTCTGAGATACATCAATCCTAGAAAAGGGAAAGAAAAGAAAAAGTAAAAGACCTGGGAAAAAACTCTGACATGAAAGAACCTTGTCAAATAACTGAAGATCCTAGAGCATTTTCTTCGACCAGCCCCTTCTCAGTGAGTGCACCATTAGGTTTAAGTTGGGCACAGTTCATGCCGGATGCACTGATACTTCCAGAACATGAATCTTCCCACTTTACTTACTGAGTGGAAATGTAAAGTTGTGAAAGTAAAAATGAACTTCCCAAAAAATGCCTCACTGACAACCCTGGAGTGGTCCCACCTACGTGACAAGATCTGGACAAATACTTTAATTCCTAAATTAGCTCTGGAAAAACAAAGGAAATCATTGTGCAAAATACATCAAGCCTCTCTGAAGATGCAAGAAAACTGGAAAAAAGCCTCAGAGAGGGCACCAAAAAAAAAAAAAAAAAAAAAAAGGAAATTGGAAAAGAAATGCTATATTTTATATTTTGTAAATCTGGACAGAGGAACCAAAAGGTGTATTTTCTTAGCAGATTTAAAATTAATTTTCTAACACAGAAAATGACATCTGTGCTAAATTACCCCACCTACCTGTGTAATTACTATTGAACTAGGTGGCAGCCCCTCCTGCAGCTAGCTATAAGTGGGACATACTAGGGCTCAGCACGAAAAGAACATTCTAGAGCAGCGGTTCTCAACCTGTGGGTCGCGACCATCAGAAAACACATATAGCATATCAGGTATTTACATTACGATTCATAACAGTAGCAAAATAACAGTTATGAAGTAGCAACGAAAATAATTTTATGGTTGGGGGTCACCACAACATGAGGAACTGTATTAAAGGGTTGTGGTATTAGGAAGGTTGAGAACCACTGTTCTAGAGGGAACCAATCGCTCAACCCTATTCTTGCAAATAGTGCATACAAAAGATGGAAATGTTTTGACTCATTAACTTGACAGAAATTTTCGAAAAGTATTGGTGGGATGGGATTAGTGCCATTTGTCCAAAAGGATAAAATTCACTTTAAAAAATGACATAACCAAATTATAATGTTTAAACAACTTTACTATTAAAACAGCATTCCTGCCTACCTAAAACATTTGAGTTCCAGTTTTTAAACAAATGGTGAAGAATACTTTATTCTATAATCAAATGCTTTTTTCCTCCTGATTTTGGCTTCAAAGAAAGACCAAACTGTAAAATTAAAAGAAAATTATTTGTATACATCCACTCAGAATTCCATTGGACTAATCAGGACCTTCTTTCTGGGACTCTCATTTAGGCTTGGTATAGATGTCTACATATTGTTAAGAGCAGTAATCATATATTTTATCTTCTATTCTTTTCAATTAATTGTATGCAAAGCATTGTTCTAATGAGTTGGTCAGAATTCCATCAAATGCCCAACCATTAATCTACTGCTGTATACTAGTAAGTAATGTTACCATGCCTAGCTCATGCATCTATGGAAGTTCTATTTCCTTAATTCCCCAAAGTGAAATTAACTAGGTCAACAATGCGCAACTATTTTTTTGATTTCTTACAGTGTTGCTAAAATGCTTTCCAAAAAGTTACATCAATTTACTTATTCTGTTAGCTACATCTAACTATGCTAATTTCACTTTATTTTATCAAAGCAAGATTCTGTCACTTAAAAACATGTTAAATTAATATGCATAAATGAAACTTATTACTTTAATTTACATTTATTATAATTTCCCCACTTGTTTATTTACTCTCTCCTCTTACATGAAAAACCTGTTCATGCCTTTTCTTTTCTCTTTTCTTTTGTTAATCCTCACCCAAGGTTATTTTTTCCATTGATTTTTAGAGAGAGTGGGAGGGAGGAGGGGAGGGGAAGAGAGAGAAACACACACACATATTGTTCAGTTGCCTCCTGCACGCACCTTGACTGGGGCTGGGGATCGAACCTGCAATCCAGGTACGTGCCCTTGACTGGGAATTGAACCCATGACCCTTTGGTGCATGGGCTGATGTAACACCAGCCAGGGCTCGTGTCCTTTCTTCACACTGGAATCCTTCTTAGCTGTTTCTCCACACCCCCTCACCATTGTCTTTTATTGTGATAAATAATATGTAACACAAAACTTACGATCTTAACCATTTCTAAACGTACAGTTCAGTGGTATTAAGTATATCCATACTGCTGTGCAACCATCATCTTACAAAACAAAACTCTGTACCCATTAAACAACTTCCCATTCTACCCTCCCTGCAAACCCTGACAACCACCATCCTACTTTCTGTCTTTATGAATCAGACTACTCTTGGTGCCTCAAGAACCATACAGTATTTGTCCTTTTGTGTCTTATTTCACCTAACATTATGTCTTCAAAATTCATTCATGTTGTAGTGTGTGTCAGAATTCCCTTCCATTTTAAGGCTGTACTCCATTGTATGAACCAGTTTCCCCTTAGCAGTCTCTTAAACCATTTTAATTTTTCAGGGTCTGGAGCACAAACAGTTGATTCTGAATCCTGGTCCCTCACATGTTGTGTGACTCTGGGCAAGTTACCTAATCTTTCTGTGCCTCAGTTTCCTCCTCAGTAAAAAGAGAGTGATACTCATGCCTGTTTCACTGAATGTTCTGGGATTAAGTCATAATGCATACATATATATATCCTATATAATAAAAGAGAAACATGTAAATTAACCGTCCCTCCGCTATGCCCTCCAGCCAAGCAGAGTGAGTATGCAAATTAATCTGACAAAGATGGCAGGTTAATTTGCATACACAGGCACTGGGCAGCCGGGGCAGGGCAGATGTGAGGGAAGTTCTGGCCCCGTGGCCGCTTGCACACGCACTGGCACCAGGGAGCTGGGGGCAGGGCGGCGCGCATGAACACTGGGGAGCCAGGGCCGGGGCCGGGGCAGGGAGCATGGGA